CTAAGTGTTAGGACATGCTGAAGGATAATTGTTGCCCCTATCTAATGTCTGCTGTATCTGAGTGCTCTATGGCTACTCTGAGCACGGTGCTGTCTTTAATAAGCATTCAAATGTTTAATGAGCACAATTCATGTTTAGAGGAAAATCTACAATTGAATGAACATGATCTAGCAGAATAGAAAAAAAATGCTCTTTATTTTATAAGAAAAATGTATCTTCATTATATATTTTTAAAAAATTTAGTTACTAGGGAATGAGCAGATAGCACAATGGTTATGTCACTGGACTCCCACATGCCTGAACACAGTTCAAGTCTTGGACCCAGTGACTTGAAACTCAAGCCGGGTGTGTGTGCATGTGTACTCTAAATCTATAGAGGAGAATGGAGCATAAGGGACTACAGTGTGGCTATTCCCTATGGGAGGTGATTTCTCACTTTCTGTCTCTCTGTCTCTGTCCTTTCGGTAAGCACGTCTGCATTATAGCAGAAGTCTCTCTCAAAAAATAAATTAGGTACTAGTAGTAAAAGTTTGATAATGTGGGGGAATAGATTTAGAAAATATGATTAACAGCAAGATATAAGAATGTGTGAATGATGAGTAAAATAATTCATAGGATAATAAGTTTATTTAGTGTATTAATATGCCCTTTGACATCAGTCTGTCTTGTTTATTTTGAAAATCTTTGGAAATTCAGTCAAAAGTTATCCCTAGGGCCAACAGGTGCTGTAGTTGTTATGGCATTGGATTGCACATGGCTGACTCCATGGCTCGAGTCCTGGACCTGGCAGCTTGAAAAGTACTGGGTGCGTGTGCATGTTTGCTCCAAATCCCAAGAAGACTAGAGGAGAAGGGATTGTGGTGTTGGCTATCCTCCCTGGGGGATGATTTCCCACTTTCCTTCTCTTCGTCTCTCTAGTGAGCAATGGCCAGAAAGAAAAGAGCCCTTAAATTTTGTTTGTTGGCTAAAGAGCTGTATGATAAATTAAAAAATGAGGTTGGACATTTGGCAGTATTTCTGTAGACTAACAGACTGCAAAGCATCATATTCTAATTTTCATTAAAACATTTTATAGCTGAGCTAGACTTGATATTGAGCTTTGTGTAGTTTTCTGAGTGTCTCTGCTGAGTTACATTTAAAGTCAGGTCACATTTACAAAGATGATTTTTTTTTTTTTTTTTTTTTTAAGCAAAGACCCAAGTCATTTGACAAGCATGGACAGTATCTTTGGCGTTGAGGAAAGAGAGAGAAGAAAGTAGACAATGCGTGCTATGTCTTAGTGCTTTTAGGTTGCTACAGTGAAATACCATAAACTGGGCAGCTTATAAACAACAGAAACTTATGTTTCCTAGTGCTGGAGGCAGGGAAGTCCAAGATGAAGGTGCTGGCAGATTTGTTGTCTGGGGAAGACCTGGTTTATTCATAGACAGATGTGTTCTATAACTTCACATGGTGGAAGGTCAAGGCAGCTCCCTGGGGTCATCTTTGTAAGAGCCCTGATCCCTAATCACATGCCAAAGGACCCCAGCTCCTAATACTGTTATTTCATGGTTAGGATTTCAACATGTGAATTTTGTGGGGAGGTGGGGTGCCACCAATATTCAGATTAGCAAAAGATGAGCTGAAGGAGAAGGGGTTGCAGTCTTACTGTGAGAACTGCTCTACCATGGGAGTTATCAAATTACTGGGTGCTTTCTATTCTTAACCAAAGAGCAAACCTCTGATGTGCTTATCTATAACTAGGTCTACATGGCCTAGGGGAAGGCTTGGAGTAGAGCTGGGTCAGAGGGCTGGAACATGGGGACACAGGCAGATAAAATGGTCCCTTGATTGACTATAGATCTTGGTACATGGAGGCACCTGGAAGGTGATGCTATCTCATTCTTGAATTGAGCAAGGACCCTGAAGTCAATGTTGTATTTAGGAATTCCGCATGTGAAATTGAAGAATACCTGCTATGCCATGAAGTTCTGTTTGTAAAAACCATTTCTAAAGGTGACAACTGTATTTCATTTGACATAGAAATACGCCCCTATTTCTTTAGATATACTTAAATCTCACCAGAGTTTAGGTTTTATAAAACCTATTTTTTTCTGCTTATAAGAGTTATCCTAAAACTTCTTCTTTTAATTGTATATGAAAACGATCATGGTTTGATAGTGGATGATCAATATTTGCCAAAATGATGTGTGTATTTTCTCTGCATTCTAGTGCTTAGAACTGATGACATATAACAAGTCACAAAATAAAACATGTTTCTCTAGTGAATCAGCTTGTTAGAGGGTGGTTTGTGTGTTACCCAGAGTGTTTTTCCTTGTAGTTATTTCCGTGTTTGGACACATATTAGAAGGCTTCTAAGTAAATAGCTTTGGAACCTCCTTATGAGGGAGGAGACAGCACTTATCTGGACTATTTCCTTAACCTCTATCTTTTACTTCCCTTAGATGATTTAACTGAGAGTAGGCTGTAGTATTATCCACGCCAGAAACTGTATGGAAGAAAACACTGTTGGCGTTACTAACCCTGTAATACAAAAGTGATAAGTGATGTAAGCAGGTGAACTGCGTGACCTGGCCAAAGTCACCAGTGATTCAAATAGGTGGAGCAGGAACTTATGACACTCTT